TTGATGCCAGAGCTGTTTCAAACAAGTTTTCACATCTTATTTTCACTCAGACAGCAACACCCCACTCACCAAATGGAGTGCTGTGATTGGCCCACCACCAGACTGGTCAGGTCTGTGTAGGTTCCAGTGGCGCGGGACTAGACCGACATGCAGAGCTAAATCATTTTGCTTCTGCTGCTGTCCATCTAGTTACTAGCAAAAAGAGATGTCCAGTGTTATCAAACTATGGCTTTTATCATGTCTAGGGATCTTCCAATCACGTTTTATTTTACTCTTGATCAGAGTCCGAGTCATTTTGAGTATCTGCCCTTACCGAGTCCCGATCCAATACTGCAACAATGCATTAAAATAAGAAAAAAGGATAAAATACCCAAGTTTTCTTTAGGTTTTATTATGATTATTATTATTTAGGTCAGGGGTAGGGAACCCTGGTTATGGAGAGCTGCTATCCGGCATGTTTTAGAGGTTTCCCCGCTTCAACACACCTGTTCAGCAGCTCATCAGGCTCTGCAGAAGCCTGTTAATCACCTGCTGATTAAAATCAGGTATGTCGAAGAAGGAAAACCTCTAAAACATGCTGGATAGTGACTCTCCAGGACAAGCGTTCCCTACCCCTGATTTAGGTATTCCTTTCTGTATTTGTCCTTTCCTTAGTTTAGCTGCCAAAATCCTCACTCACTCAGGGAGTACACTGGTTTTAAAAAAGTGTTAACATTATGAATATGTTTAGAAGTAGTGGTGTTGCTCATACTTCTGATTGAGGCTGTATTGAGTGAAGTGCGCTCCCGTGATGGGACAGGCACGCAGCGCCATGGTCGGCAAGCTCACTTTTCTCCACAGCCTGTAGCTGCTGCAGTCGGCCCAGGTGCTGCAGGCGACTGCGAAATCCCGACGTTTTCCTCTCTGTCTGCATTTTCTCTCATTTATTAGCGTATCTTTCACTGGCGGCTGGCTCTGTGTTTATGTCCGAGTTGCCGCAGTGAACTGGAACCATTAGTGGCGCACTAGGACTTAATGGAGACCGGTGACTCGCTTTGGCGACACCTGAAGGGAAAAGCGAAAGTAGGTTGATTCGAGCATGTTGAATGCCCAGTGTGCACACATTCCAAGTGTTTGTTGCTCTGCCTCCACTGTCCAGTTTAAAACATGTCTAAGCTACAGACATCTCCACTTTCCTGAGCTGTGTTGGCTAACAGCTGAATGTTATGGTGGCTGAATCGCTGCCTGCCACAAATTGTATGACGTTATGGTGGTGTTTTCGTCAAAAAACACTGATATGATGTAGAGGAGCTTGTTGAAATTAAAACTAAGCCATTGTTATTCACTTAGAAAATTTCTATCTCAAGATGAACTTAAATAGTCATGATTGTTGTTTTACAAGATTTTGTCCGATCTTTTCCACCTGATCCTTTGAAAAAAATCACATGATTGGGCCCGATTTCCATAATCATGTCCCGTTTAACTCATCGAGGTTGATTAGCCTTCTCTCTGTTCTGACCACCACCTGCTACTGGATTGGCTGAATGGAGAAGTTCTCCTCTGATCTATCTGAGCGTTTCTTCTCCATGGCTGTCTTTAAGTTTTGGTTCTCCTCTACTTCCATTGCCCATGGTGTTCCACAAGGTTTTGTGCTGGGGCCTCTACTTTTCCTCTTTCATCTGCTCCCTTTCCAGCGGATCCTGAGCCCTTTTAAAGCAATCTCCTACCATCTTTACAAAGCTCAAACGCATCTTTTCAGGCAGGTTTTAGTGTGAACTGTTGCATCACCGCTGGTGAAGCACCTTGTGATCTTGAGAGGGTTAGGGTTAGGTTTAGAGAGGAGAGCCAAACAGTTTCTTATTCCTTTTAAACATTTTTGCTTAGTGTAAGAATACAGAAACCGTGTGAGGAATCTAAGATTTACTAGATGGCCACGATGCTCTCAAGCCCTCAAAAAGGGACCAAAAATACAACAAAAACTAAATTGTTTCAGAAATTCTTTTGTAAAGTCGAGACCAAATGAAAGCTCGTTCATGAAATGTGACATCTGCTTTAAATATTGTTGATGAAATTGTCTTTTTGGGTCACTTGAAACCAAAATCTGAAGGAAATTTCTACATTTGATTAATTGCACAGCTCCAATAGCTGGAAGCTGACTCAGTCTGAGAGTCGTGCCAGGACTGGGCCCCGGGTGTGGAGTAGGGTCGTCATGGAAACGACCTGCTGACAGCAGATGAGGGAGTTTTCACTGGAACTTGGAGGAACTAAAACTATTCGATGTGGTAAGTACTTCTAGTGATAGGCGACCGTTGGGTTTGGTGAACATGCTGAAGCTGCTTCCACCGAGCTAAACTTTGGACCTCTGCTCAAACAGGAAACTCAGTTTTCTTCTTTCCACCCCCTTCCTCATCCTCATCCTCACCACTTCATTCCCTCCTGTAGAATAACACCCTCTCCTCTGTTTTGTGGTCTCTGCTGCTCCATCCACTCCAGCCTGCTCCAGACCTCTGCATGGGGAGGGGGAGGCTCTGAATTCCTCCTCACATCTGGAAAACATCTTCTCCTTCTGCCAGTTTCTCCCTTCTTCCACATTGCTCAATGCTGTAATGTAAATAGTCCTGTAGTTATACTGCTGCCTAAAGCTCGGCACACTGGGTGGTGGTGGTGGGGGGGGGGGGGGGGGGAGAGAGAGAGAGAGAGAGAGAGAGAGAGAGAGAGAGAGAGAGAGAGAGAGAGAGCCAACTGAGGTTTATGAGGCGATAAAAACCAAACACACTCCTTCAACTTAAACTCACACACCCACTCATCGTGTGTGTGTGTGTGTGTGTGTGTGTGTGTGTGTGTGTGTGTGTGTGTGTGTGTGTGTGTGTGTGTGTGTGTGTGTGTGTGTGTGTGAGCAACAGGAGGCCCACAAGCAATTGAATCAAAGTGTTTAACTGAATTATGACGTCTAAGCTGCCTGAAACTGAAGCACAGCTTCATCCTTCATTGATGCAATGGTTGGAGAGGATTCTGATTCTTCTTTGTTGGTTTTCAGTGCGTTATAATGATGAGGAGCAGGGGTCTCATTTATCAAACATTGCATCAAACATGGAGGACGCACAGCAGCACGCAGTCTCCGCTTCATAAATCGGAGACTAATGAGAATGGTTCTCAGCTGCTTTTTAGTCACATCCCACCCTCGCCACGCCCACTTACTGCCATAAATAGTCAATGCAAAGTGCCTTGTGGATCTCATGCATATACATAAGCCGGCTGTTGCAGCGCTCTGCCATTGACATGGCGACCGTAGATCAAGGCAGATCAAGGAAGCGCAATTTCACAGAAGCAGAAGTTGAGGTACCTGTGGGTGAGGCGGAGAAATGAAAGGAAGTACTTTGGCAAAACAAATAAGAGAAAATCCACGGAGTGGCACAGCGTTGCTGAAGCCGTCAATGTTGTGAATTCTTCAGAGAGATCTGTGGCGGATATAAAATAATGGTCCAATCGGGATTCGATCCCCAGACTCCCGGGTGAAAGTCACGCGCCCTAAGCAGTCACCCAAATGGAGATCTCCCCTGTACAAGTAGCCAGGGTGCATGATCAATCGGGTCACAGTGACAGGACACACACTGTCACAGACGCATGATGTTCTGTCTCAGTCTGTCCCCCTGCTGATATTCTGCATTCCCTATTCTGGCTTCAGGCTGTGTGTGCACGTGTGTGTGTGTGTGTGTGTGTGTGTGGGGGGGGGGGGGGGGGGGGGTCTTGTTATGTGTGAAAACGAAGCGGTACAAGTGATAATGCTGCAGGATTTCATGATTGTATCTTCTCAGCAGCAACACTGCAGGTGCTCTCCATGTCCAGCAGGTGTGTGAGCCAGGTCCTTAGTCAACTTAAAGCTGCGCACATTTTTCTGCTAAGTTTTCTGCGTGGAAAGTTGCTTACGCAGTTTTCCGACCCCGTTTTGTGCTTCAGCAAGCTTGATAAATGGGGCCCCAGCTCAGTAAGCTGCTCCAGTAAACAGTGCTATGAAATGATCGCAAATGAAACCACCTTAACTCAACAACTTCTATTGGACCTCCTCCCTGTTGTCTATCTTTTAAATACCTTTTGAAAACATCACAGGTAATGTAAAGGTCAGACGTCCCAGCAGGCATCGCCTGCAGCAGAACAACTGATTCGCTTTAGGAGTCGGCCCAATTCAGACGGCTCCCACAGCTGACCCTAACTCGCAAACAGAACACAACACATCATAGGTGTTGAGCTTAATTTTCACCTGAGCATCATTCTCACCACAGAGGACTGATCATGTGAACTTGTGTTAGATTTGACCAAATAACACACACACACACACACACACACACACACACACACACACACACACACACTTTGGTTGGGCTCATAAAACACAAAGAAACATCAGATCCCAGATCAGTGTGATAGGGATTACAGAGGTTCTTCACGCAGTCAAAGATAACGTTTAAGCTGGACTGTCCTTGACCTGCCTAAGCACACACACACACACACACACACACACACACACACACACACACACACACACACACAAAACCCTCCAGCTAAATTGGTCTTTTCTTGTGGAATTACCAGATTTAAACCCAGATTATTTATCTTCAACACTTTCTAAACTCTGTGTAGAGAACTGACCAGCAGCCAGACCGTCTGAACTGAGCTCTGACTGAATCATGTGATGTGGAAAGTTAATTCCCTGAGAGGAAATTCTGTTGTTGTTGATTTTTTTTTTTTTTTGTTTGTTAGAAAACTTATTTTTGACAGAAACCAAATCCAGAATTGTGGTGGAATTAAAAACCCACCAGAGGAGACGAGCTGATTGTCGGAACAACACCCATGGAGTAAAACTGTTCACCCCAGAGCGCCAGCCCCAAGTATGGATTACCAATCAGACACCCGCCTGGGACCGACCCATCCTCGGACCCGGACCGGACCAGCTCCGGGCTGGAGCGGTTCTCCGGCGCCGGAGAGGCTGTCGCTGCGGCGGGACTCGGGAGGAGTGTACTCACGGCGTGTGCTGGTTCTCAAACGGCCTCAGAGTGAAGCCATCCCGCAGCAGCAGCGTCTGGAACCGGGACATGAGCGCTGCTGATTGGATTTGTCTCCGTCCTGCTGGCGTCTCACGAGCTGTCCTGCTGCGTTCACGGACCGCACGGACATCCCGGCATTCTCCACGTGAACCGCCACGACACGTCTGCGCTTCTAGAGCGGAAGTTTGATGTTTGAATTACATTATAATATTTAATAAAATTGCTTTATCTAAACATAATTTTTATTTTTAACCACAAAATTTTTTTCAGCACAGTGCAACACGAATGCAATATGGATGGGATGTTTTTATTTTTGTTAGATCTTTTTATTGTTATGATTTTTAAATATTATTTTAACTGCTGGGTTGTGTTCAGCACCCTGGGCTACTGGGCTGGTTCTGGAAAACACCTTTATAGGTAAGGTTGGTTGATTAATTGACAACATTCCCATTCGTTAGCGCTTTTGTTTTCACGCGTTATGAAATGGAAGAACTTTATTGCCAAGTAGATGCACAATCATACAGCCCATTTAAATATTTCATTCAGACAACCAGGTCTCAGGTTTCAGCATTTTAACATGCAGCCACAATTTGTAAAAACTGAAAATAACCCCAACTGTGCTTAGAAGTAGAACACATCCGCTGATGTTTAGCTGCTCCTTTTTAACACACATCTCACTTCTGAGGAATACAATCAACATCATTATTTGTTATCAGGAACTGCTCTGGAGTTGTTCTCTTATCTGTCTGAGCGTTCCTTCTCCGTGGCCGTGCAAGTTTTGGTCCTCCTCCACATCTCTCACCCATGGGGTCCCACAAGGTTCTGTGCTGGCGCCCCTAATGTTCCTCCTCTATCTGCTTCCTCTTCCGCACATCCTGAGCTCCTTTAAAGGAATCTCCTACCATCTTTATGCAGATGACATCCAACTGTACCTCCCCTTTAAGCCCCATGAGATGTCTAAAGCCTAATTTATACTTCTCTGTCAGCTCAGCGCGGGAGAGGCGAACACGCATTGACAGAGACGTTTTGCTTTTAAAACAATTCCCAGTCAGGACAACAGAGGGCGTAGCGCTATTCTGGGGTATCCTGCCACCATTGCAGTCATGCATCCGGTCCACTATAGTGTATTTGCTTTTGTGTTTACACTGTTTTAATGTATTTCAGAGACTTTTTTAACATGGACAAACTTGTCCCTCATTCCTCTTCACCTCTTCGTGTGATCGGCACCTCTAAACCCACGTTTCTTGTCTTTTCCGTCTACGAATAAAACGTCTACTGCATATCTTTGTAAGTGGTAAAGACGGTGCTGGTGACGAATGAAAACAGGAAGCAGCATCCTGACCAATCACAAGCTTGCGGTCTCCGTCTCTTTCGACAGATCATTAAAATATGGGGCATGTCTCTGTCAACCTCCGCACGCCCGTCAGAGGGCTCTTGCGTCGACGCATATTGGCGTTGCGTGTGTCCGTCCCAACGCAAAGAAGTATAAATTGGGCTTAAGCTGCAGCTGTTACACACCTGCTTAGACTCTATCAAAACCCGGATGGTGGGAGCTTTCTACAGCTGGATGAAGATAAGACTGAGATCCTCATCTGTGCCCCAGACAAGCTGGTTCCCAAAGTCAGAGACTCTCTTGGTCAGCTTGCTTCTCACACCAAACCTTCCGTCAGGAATCTTGGCGTGACCTTTGACCCAGCTCTCACCCTGGATTCTCATGTCAGTTCTCTTGTTGGCTCTTCCTTCTTCCATCTCAGGAACATTGCTAAGCTGAGTCCCATTCTGTCCCGCTCTGAACTTGAGACAGTTCTCCACACCTTCATCTCCTCACGCTTAGACTACTGTAACTCTCTTTTCACGTGTCTGAGCAGAACCTCCCTGAACCGTCTACAGGTGGTTCAGAACGCCTGTGCTCGGCTTCTGACCAAGTCCTCCAAACACACCCACATCACCCCGCTTCTCCTCCAGCTTCACTGGCTGCCAGTCAACTTCAGGGTTCATTTCAAGATCCTGGTTCTGGTCTATAGGGCCTTACATGGACAAGCACCATCTTACATTGGTGATCTTCTTAGTCCCTACACCCCCAGCAGGTCCCTGAGGTCCAGTGATCAAAGCCTACTGGTTGTGCAACGCACCAGGCTAAAGGTCAAAGGTGACAGATCATCTGCTGCTGTGGCCCCCAGACTCTGGACCTCTCTCCCCCTGAGCCTGAGATCAGAGGACTCAGTGGTCTCCTTTAAAAAGCAGCTGAAGACTCACCTGTTCAGGCTTTGGCCTGACCTTCATCGCCACCCTCTCCTTATTTTGCTCTTTCTACCAACTCCACCTTCCCAGGATTCACTGATTTCCTCATATTTTATAGCAATTTAATGATATTTTTTAATAATTTTAGTTATATTTTCAAGACCCCATCATTGCATAGTTGTTATTTATTATTATTATTATCATCATTATTATTATTATTATCTCAAAACACGTAAAAATTAGATATGCTGTGCAGATTTAATAAACTCTGTCCACATTTTCAGCAAACTAAAGTCTCAGCAACAAAGGAACATTTCATCCCTCAGTTTCTGTTTTTCCAGAGGAGACTTGAACGCAGCATGAAACAAGCAGAGCACCACCCAACAGTGTTTATAAACTATGTGAGATGGATGTTTCCTGAAGGAAATCTTGATCTGATCATTCCTAGACGTTAAATTTAGCTGCAGTTAAATGTTAAAGTATGAAAAAAGCATTTTCTGTCTCAATGATTCTTGTATTTTTCAGACGTACCAGAAAAAACTAGAATTTGGGTTCTTAACTGGAATAATGAGACTCGGGTTCAAGTTTTAAAGGTTTGATCATTTTATTGTTTATTTGCAAAAATGATAATTTTAGATTATTTCTCTTTCTGAGGACAAGCAGAACGCAACTAAAGAAGAAAGGCCCAACACTGCCACCTGGTGTTGAGTTTACAACAACACGCGTTTTATTTATTTATTGATCATTAGGTCATTAACAGTATACGGATGAGGAATGCAGGATAAGCCATGAAGAGTTTACTGCAACATGTAAACATGGTTTATAAAAATTTTTTTCAAAAAGAGGTTCTTAAAGTTCAAAGGGATAATTCTGTAGAAAAGCACACGATTTATTAGAATTTCAAAACTATAGAAAAACCAACACAATCGAAAATGTTTCAAGTATTTTTTGTACAAAACATCGTAAAAAAACATATTTTACTAATCAAGCTGTGAAGCACATCCCAAATAAAAGAACTTAGTTAATCTGCACACCGTCGAGTTAAGCCCACCCGTCCAAACCCACGGGTGAGAGGAATCTCACATCCTGCCCGCCTCTCTGAACCTGTCGAGCAGCCCGTCGTCGGCCCTCAGAGGGAAGTACATTGTTCGGGTTTTGTAGAACTGCGGGTTGGCCTGGAGGTTCTGGATGACGTCTGACAGAAGGTGGGCTCGCTCCACGCCGCAGCCCGGTGCCTCGTAGCCCAACTTGGTGAAGTGGACGTGGAGATGGTAGTAGGAGGGCTGGTAGTGCAGGTAGACCCTCAGCTTGCTGCTTGGAAGGTTGTAGCGCTGCAGGATGGCTTCCTAAAACACACGCGGGCAGACTTTAGCCTGGATGAGAGACGCTGTGTTGTACAAAGACTCCCCGCGTCTCTAATCCTCACCTTTCCTTTCTGGAAGATGTTCTGCAGCAAAGGTAGGTGCTCTGACGTCAGGTCACGAAGACTTCTGACGTCTCTCTGATGAGCAACGGCAATCAGATACAAGTCGTCCACCTGGAAGAGGATGACAGGCATGGTGATATAAGACTGAATGCATGGCTCTGATTGGACAACAGGCTGTTTTAGCTTTTGTATAAAAAATTCTATTTTGTTTATTAATTAACATCCATGTTGAGTCCGCCCATCCATGCATGCCCTGCTGCCTGCCTAGGATCTAAGTCTCAGGTCCATAGGCGAGGGTTGGAATGTAGACAGACCAGGAAAAGACCCTCGTTACTCCAGACGAAGCCCTGATCCGTCGCTCCGTCCTAGCATCTCTCAGGAACAGCAGGATGTCTGAACTCCTTTGGTTAATGTGAAGGCCAAGAAACGTGGTCTCAGATCCCCTTACACTGATGATCAAGCTTTGTCTGCAATCGGTTCAGTGTTTCTGGTCTTTCACCTGCTTTTGGTTCCACTTTAAATCAGGGAGAAGGACAAAGCCGAGCTTTGGGTCTGGGTCTTCATAAACGACGCGGTCGGCCTCAGCCTTCTTGTCCAGGATGTTGTAAACCCACTAACGGGAAAACGAACGCCAAAGTTTAGGATGGGATTTAAAAATTGAGCAAAAATGTAACTAAAGGTCAGCTGACCTGCAGGCTCAAACTCTGCTGCTGAATATAAGGCAGCGTGATGGACTCGTAGTCCTCTCCCGTCTCCTCCACCAGGAAGTTCTCCTGACGCTGATACTTCTTGACGTGCTTTTCTGTGGCTGGATAAATAACGGTGGTCTTAATCTCTGCAAAATGACAGAAACAACAGAGCTGTGAGCTAAACGAGCCGTCGGACAAAGAGAAAACAACCCAGTGATTTCCATCTTTTAATTGTACCATTTAGGTGGGGCGGGGCCTGGAGACGATAGGAGCCGTAGATGTCGTTTCTCGTCTCCAGTCTGAGTGAGGAACAACTGAAGAGCTCAGGGAGCGTATCTTCTCTGATGGGGGTCTTCTCCAGGATGACCACAGCATCCTGATCTGCAATCTGATGACAAGATACTGACATGTTCTGATATGGGTTTCAAACGCATGTTTAAATTCAAGAAACGTTTGGACTTTTATTTTGAAAAGTAAAACCGGAAACTTATGTTTTGCCTCCTCGGAAACTAATCCCACTCCTACCAAGCATGAACAGAATCCTTTCACTGATCCCAACACAGTGGCCGTGTTCAAGACGAGCCAGTTCTGCGCAGATTAGATCACCGGTGCATGCCGGATGTGTCCGATTTGACGCCGACCTGCTCTGACGTCATGCATACGTAGGCAACGATAACCCCATGAGATCAAGGCGACCGCAGATTTTGGAGCAAGGCGCTGCAGTTGCTCTCCACCGTCTGGCTGCTAAACCTAGGGGATGACGGGAAACACCTGGCTCTCACCTGATCTAAAATCTGATTGGTTCATATTTTGATCCAAACATCCGGTGGTAGAACATGAAATGTTAGTTGGTCACATGTATTCTGTAAATCATGTTACGTTGATGATGACAACTATATAGACCATAAAGAGAAATATGTTTTGTGTTCTTTTGTCACGTTTCCTATGAGCACACTAAACCTACAGCTGATAACCTTTACTTATTATTACAGTCATGTCTCCATATGCAATATATGATATCCACAAGCACGTGAAGATGTGTTTCGGTTGCTAACAGGCACCAGAATTAAAATAAAAAATTAAACAAGTGTGAACGCGACATCTTCATCCACCGTCACCCGCGAGCTACATGTAGGGAAATATGTTCACTAAACGCCGGCTTTCAGCCACTCTCCCCGCTGCGTTCAAGGCGAGGCGCTGCTAACACGGCCAACTATACCCGCTGCTGACCCAACTGTGCTAGCTACACAGCTACAGTTAGCTAACTGCACCGGTACCTTTCCATGGATGAAGATGATTTTCTCCCGGGCAGAATCGCTCAACACGTTGGGTGTTTGAAATCCAGCTAAAATATTTTCACTCTCAGACTCTGGTCCGTCCCTGTCGGCGGGTTTCGATCTCTTGGCCTCCTGACAGAACTCGTCTTTTTCTCTATAAACACTTTCTACAGCGTCCGCCATGTTTGTAGCGCCTTCTCTCACCAAAGATATTCTCTGCATGTCTAGAGGTCTCACTCTCTCATTTTCTGCCAATAAATTAGTATGTAGCCTTCATCTGTTTGCACTATTTTATTGATTCACATTATTGTTGTTTTTAATATTAAAATGTTTTCCCTAATATGTTTTATCTGCATGAACATTGTGTTTATTAATGTTTATGAATTTATTTGGTTTACTCAGACACACACACATATAACATACATATCTCTCTCTCTCTCTCTCTCTCTCTCTCTCCCTCTCTCTCTGTATATGTATATATATATATATATATATATATATATATACCATACAAATTGATTCACAAATGTTTTATATTATATTTTGGTAGACATTGACCAGAAATAAAAATATTTTTCATTAAAGTAACTTAAGTGTGGAGTGAGACATCGCTCACTTTTTTCCCCTCCACTAAGTGGACAACTCGGAGTATATCCGTTTTGTGTTTCAAATTAAAAGCTGTATTCTGTTAGTCTACATACTTGTTAATAGAAAACATTAAGCTTCTTGTTCTTGTAAGCGAGTTACAACAACATGGTTTTATCAAACAGAGTATTTGTTTTTCCAGAAAGATTCTCCAGGGCTGCCAACCTGGGAACCTTTCACTGCGTGGAGTGGATTGAGGGCTGCCAGAAACCTGTGGACTCTGATTGACGTTTCTTGTATCCAATCAGATCAGGTCGTTGGGGCGGGACTACAACAATATTGACTAATGAAACAGCAGCATTTTGGTGCCGCATTAACAGGAAGTTATTTAAACACCAGAGGAGTTTTATTTTGGTTTTTAGTGCTTTTAGGTGTTGAGTGTGACGAAGAAACGATGACAGCTGTCCACCAGTGTCTTCTCCTCTGTCTCCTCTCCACTCTGACTGCAGCAGCTGGTTCGTGGACAGGTAAAAAGTTTAATACCTGAGGATAATAATGTACCTGAATGTTATTAGCTAATATTGTTATGTTAGGCGAAGCTCTAAGTGAATATACTGTAACCTCGTTAGCTGACGTTAGCTTTAATAAGCCATTGGTCCGTTTGTTTAGTGTCTCGTGCTAGCTGCTAATCTAATTTACTCATTTTGTGATGATTTTCTTTCTGAGTCGAGTCTGAGTTTTATTCCCCAAAGTATTATAAACTATTAGCTTGAGTGAAGTGAAACCCGCAGATTCCTGTTGGGTTTTTAAATTCCGTTCACTTTTTTAAAGCAAGCTCTGCCGCCTGCTGTTGGGATCGTGTGTTAAATATAACTTCTGTACATATTTATGATTGTTTTAACCAACAAGCAAATTCCCTTTAGCTGTATGATAATATTTTACACCTACTAGCAAAATGAAATGATTCTGTTCAACTTTTACATTTGAGTAAATCAGTCTGTGTTTGTTTCTTAGGGAGAAAAAATGTCCTTTTCATCGTGGCTGATGATTTGCGAACATCACTGGGTTGCTATGGAGACCCCCTGGTGAAGTCGCCCAACATTGACCAGCTGGCATCAAAAAGCCAAGTTTTCCTGAATGCGTATGCTCAGGTCAGCTTCTAGGTTAAAGTGACAAAGTGTAGTTTTTAGCTTTAATCTGTGGATAATATACCATACCATACCATACCATTTTATTTATAAAGCGCATTCAACATGGCATTACAACCAGACAAGGCGCTGTACATTAAAAGATTACAGTTAATTAACACGTACAGAATGACATTTAAAGCATAGTTTATAAGAAAAAAATGAAAACAAGAAAATACTAGAACTAACAGTCGTAAAACACTAAAAACACAAAAGGAATGTGAAACAACAGATAAAAACATATGAAAGAACCACAGTAATACAGATGTTAATTATAGTTCATTCTATTGTAGAAAGAATGCAGATGTCGAAAGTGGTCCATGACTATGTATTATATGCAAGGTTGAAGTAGTGAGTTTTCATGCGAGATTTAAAAATGCTAATTGTTGGTGCTTGCCTCACTAGTAGTGGTAATGCATTCCACAGCTTGGGAGCACAGACAGAGAAAGCCCTTTCTCCACGGCTTTTCAGACGTGCGTTTGGAAGAGCTAGGAGGAGCTTATCTTCAGACCTGAGAGCACGAGGCGGATTGTAGTAATGGACGAGTTGACACAGATATGGAGGAGCTTGACTGTTCAGGGATTTATAAGTGAGAAGCATGATTTTGAAATTGATCCTGAGATGAACGGGCAACCAGTGGAGAGATTTTAGAATTGGTGTAATGTGCTGTCTTCTGTCAACTCCAGTCAGGAACCTAGCTGCTGAATTCTGGACTAGCTGAAGTCTAGATTGAGCTGCTTTACTGATGCCGTATAAGCAGGAGTTGGAGTAATCCAGCCGTGAAGTGATGAAAGTGTGGACTACTGATTTGAGAAGACGGACACTCAGGATGTGCTTAAGTTTAGAGATACGCCTGAGGTGGTAAAAACATGATTTAACTGTGTTATTGACCTGAGCATCCATCTTCAGAGCCTGGTCTATTTTAACTCCAAGGTTGGAAATTACAGTGGAGACATTAGGTGAGAGATAGTTGAGGTCAGGTAGATGAGTAGTCGGGATGCTGTGAGGATTAAAAACGATTACTTCTGTTTTGGAGTCATTCAGATGGAGGAAGTTATCAGCAAGCCAAAGCTTAACATTATCGATACAATCAGACAGAACTTGCATTGATTGAGTTGGCTTGAATGAAAAGTAGATCTGACAGTCATCAGCGTAAAGATGGTATGAGACAGCGTGCCTTCTGAAAATGGCTCCTAAGGGCAGTATATAGAGGTTAAATAGTAACGGGCCGAGTATTGAACCTTGTGGGACACCCCAACGGAGTGGTTGTGACTCGGATGAACAGCCATCCAACATGACTCTAGCGGACCTGTTATAAAAGTATGACCTGAACCAATCTAGGGCTGAACCAGAAATGCCAGCCCAAGTCTGAAGTCTGGTGATCAAGATGTTATGATCGATCGTGTCAAATGCTGCTGATAGATCCAAAAGTAGCAGAACCACATGGAAACCTGAATCTAAAGCGAGAAAAATGTCATTAAACACCCGAACATGAGCAGTTTCAGTGCTGTGCTGTTTTCTGAAACCAGATTGAAAAATGTCCATTACCTGATTGTCATTTAGATGTGTCAGCATCTGTTCATACACTATTTTCTCAAGGACCTTAGATAAAAACGGTAATTTGGAAATTGGTCGGAGATTAGAGTAATCAGTGGGGTCGAGACCAGGTTTTTTCAAGATTGGCTGAAGAACGGCGTGTTTAAAGGCAGAGGGAACTTCAGCCAATGTCAAGCTACTATTTAAGATGTCTAGCACATTATGGCTAATGAAAGGAAAAACCTCTTTCAGGAGACGAGGTGGGATAACATCTTCTGGGGAGCCAGACGGTTTCATGGCAGCAACAGTTTTTTCTAGATAGGGCAGAGAGATGGGCTGAAAGCTTTGAAGTTGCACATGAGGGGGAATGACTGAATCAGGAACATGGTTGGTTTGGTGAATCTGAGCTCTGATTGCACTAATCTTATTTAAGAAAAACTGCAGGATTTGGTTACACAAGTCAGCAGACGCAGAGGAAAATAGTTTTGTAACTGGTGAAAGCACTGCATTCATAGTTTTATATAACATACCTTGATTATTAGAATTAGCCGTTACGATGCTTGCAAAAAATCGATTTCTTGCGCCTCTGACTGCTCTTTGGTACTGAGACCACGCCTCTCTCATGGATTCAAAGGATACAGTAAGCCTGTCTTTTATCCATTTACGTTCCAGTCTTCTGGCATGTTGTCTCATGGAACGAGTTTGCTCGTTCAGCCATGGGTCAGGTCGGGATGTATTTCGCCTTGATTTTAATGGAGCGACAATATCCAAAGCAGCCAGACAGGATGAATCAAGCGCATGAAGTAATCCCTCAACAACAGTAAATTCATCAGTAGATTGAAATGGAGCTGAATTCAAAGCAAGAATAGCAGCAAAATGTGCAGCAGTATTGGGTCTGATTGTTCGAGAGAAGCTGGGACGGAAACACTCAACACGAGAGGCAGAGTCTAAGTTCATATTAAACACAACTGGTGAGTGATCAGAAAAAGTTGCAGGTAGAATGCCAAGATCACTAATTTGCAGCCCATGACAAAAAATCAGGTCTAGTGTGTGTGTATGACCATGAGTGGGTCCATTAACACGTTGGGACATGCTAAATGAGTCAATAAGATCTAAGAAATCCTTTACCAACCAATATACTGTAATGATAGGGTTAGCCTAACCCTAAAATACATAGGCTGCAGATTTAAGTCTCTGGGGGCGCCATGTTTTTCATGAGCCAACTCGCGGTCCTGTGCCTTCCCATGAGGTCACACCACGTTTGGAAAAGTTGGCACGTTGACACAGAAGATTCTGATTGGTCAAGACAAATATGTAATTGTAGTCCTGTATAAAAATGCAAACATTTTTTGAGACGTATGTTTATTTTGCCAAGGGTAAAAATAATTGTAAATACATTTAAAAATGAATACAAATAAGAACTGCTGTGTTTTCTGGCACAGTCTATTGGTGGATTAATGTAGTTTCACATTCTTTAAAAAAACGACAATATTGTGTTTTATTAACAAATTAGTCGTCCAAAAACATTTTGGCAGCAAGAAACACACATTTAAGAACAAAACTGCTAAACTCTTTCCAAAATCTATGTGAAATAACTAAAAATAAAAAAGGGATGCAATATATTTTGGCCGAGTGGTGTTGCCGTAGTGCGACGTGATCGGCAGGCGCAGGACCCCGAGCAGATCCGGAAACTATAACTGGCGTTGTATTCTCTCGATGGAATTAAGTGAAGGACAACCAAAGTCTGAGGAGACACGCCGAGGTCGCAGGCCTTCGGCTCCAAAGGTGGGAACATTTACCCAGCGACAGTCACGGCGATATGGTGTAAAACTACCTGAAATATATGTACTGCCCCCTAGTGCCAGGAAACTACACACTTCCACTTTAATGTTCTGGACAGATGGTGTTGGTGTGTGTGTGTGTGTGTTCCTTTTTCTCAGCAAGCCGTGTGTGCTCCCAGTCGCACATCCATGCTAACAAGTCGCAGACCAGACACAACCAGGCTGTATGACTTTAAGTCCTACTGGAGAGTCCATTCTGGGAACTACACGACTCTGCCGCAGCACTTTAAGTCTCACGGCTACACTACCATGTCAGTGGGGAAGGTTTTCCATCCAGGTGAGGTTAAATAACGTGTTTGCAGAAAAATGATGATGGTGGCAAATCGGGTACAAGCCATCCGTTAGGACCACTCATGTGTCTGACATCTTCTGCCTTTAGGAATCGCCTCGAATCACTCTGACGACTACCCCTACAGCTGGTCCATCCCTGCATATCACCCAGCTTCCTTTAGGTTTGAGAATCAAAAGGTAGGACTAGAACGGTGACATGTGGACATCAGGTAACAGTGACGTAACAGAAAATGTATGTGACTGATTTGTACATAATTTTTCTGTACGATTTCAACATGTTTATGTTCAAAATAGCTGAATGAATGCGTTTCCTGTTCAAATAGGTGGCAGAAGCAGGAGGTGAGGCGGTGATGCTACTGCGCCACACACACTCACTGATGTCCGTTTATATCACAAATGTTTCATTCCACATGAGCTACACATGCTGGCCTTCTAAAGCCTTTCTAGTAGAAGTAATGCCAGTGTGACATATTTAGTCTTTCTGATCAGCCATGAATGCAGTGAAAATGGAGGAGAGGGGCCGAAAGTACCGTGCCTCACCAACAGGTGGCAGCAGGCCCTGGGTTAGGAGGGGATTGGGGGGCTCTGGGCTGTAGCAGTAATGGGTCATGCCGCTTTCTTTCTGAAGCGTTGAAAATGAGTTCATTCACAGGATCATTCATGAGAAGACATGTGTGTTTTAAAGAAAGTTGTCTCTAGTTTGTACGTTGGCAGTGTGCCAAAGAAACCATGACTGAAAGAGCAAGTCACCCCCAAATCAACTTTTTTTTTCCTGATAAACTATATAAATGCGTGTCTAATCGTGCTGCAGACACCTGTAGTCAATAGTTTAGCACTTTAGTGCATCTTAGTTCAAATTTAACTTTTCTGCCTAAAACTGTCAGTGTTGTGCCGTTGACAGGTAAAAACTCTGCTCTGCATTTGAATTTAAATCTGCCACCGCTATTGGCTAAGAGGTACACTAGAACTTTAGCTGGTACCATATGATGTGTGTGTGTGTGTGTGTGTGTGTGTGTGTGTGTGTGTGTGTGTGTGTGTGTGTGTGTGTGTGTGTGTGTGTGTGTGTGTGTGTGTGTGTGTGTGTGTGTGTGTGTGTGTGTGTGTGTGTGTGTGTGTGTGTGTCGGTCTGTTAGGCAATAGCATTTGCTACATTTTTCAAACAGGAAGTGGGAGCGGAGTAATACTCTGGTAGGGGATGACTTGCTCTTTAATTATCTGTTCAGAATCTCCACATGGAAACTGTGCCGGGAGAACAAGAGGATGCTGGTAGAAAACCAGTTTTTAAACGTGAGTCAAAACTGATGCCCATCTTAACTCCTCTGCCAGACAGAGACGACATAGAAAAACTACATCCTGTAAAAACTACAACCACACAGATCTGGCTACCCGAGTGTATTACGTAGTAACTTAACTCCCACAGTTGGTTTAGAGCCACCAAAGTCTTGCACCTCAACACGCCAACGCCCAGCCAATCGTGTAGTGTGATGTCATTGGCAGGTGCAGGCCCAAGGGATTACTCTGCGTTCCGTAACCTAGAACAGGGTCGACCCATTTGCTTTGGCTTGGGTCACCAGGAGGTCGCCTCATTTGCTGTTGAATTTCCCTCATCTGCAGGGAGATGCTGGTCACTCTGCAGTTGAATGTTTGCTGATGAAATTAGTGCTGTGAAAAATAAGTAAAAGAAAGAAATAATGAAAATATTAAATAAAAAAATTATTAAATAAGCAAAAATGTCAAACAAATAAATAATAAATAATAACAAGTAAGTACAAAATTTCTTATACAAAATTTCACAGAATAAAAAAACAATGTTCACTAACAGCCGTTCTGGTGAGACTGTTTCTTCCATAAAGCTGTAACGCTGCACCTGTGAGCGTGAATCTGAGGGGCTTGTTTCTGGTACTCTGATTACTTAACTGATGGACAGTTACATGGAGAAAAAAATAACTTATTTTACAGACTGCATCACTCACACTCTGCGCTCACAAAAATGGACTAAGTTATCCCCATCTTTGTTTTTTTTCTAACTTCCTTTAGCTGTGGCAGCCATCTTGAACTGGTTGACTCCAAAAGTACACGGTTGGATGAGACACTTAGGAGGTCAAATCAAAGTGAGCTCGTGCATAAACGTAACTTTGTGTTACAAATCTTGTTTCCAGATGTGTAAAGGGAAGGATGGTGACCTCCACGCCAACCTGCTGTGTGCCGTGAACGTCAGTGAGCAGCCTGGAGGAACTCTGCCTGACCTGGAGAGTGCAGACGAGGCAGTGAGGTTACTGAAGAGCAGGGCCGTCGATGGAGCTCCTTTCTTCTTGGCTGTTGGCTTTCACAAACCCCACATACCCTTCAGGATCCCGCAGGTACACGGGTCTACGTCAAGACTTTTTAAGGGCCTGTAAGACGAGGACTGGATGTGTTTTGGGTAAAAGCTGGGTTAGTGGTATGATTGTGTGTGTACAGAAACGGAGGTGCATGCCAGATGTGGCCAGGTTAAATAAATTAGAAGCAGGAAGTTGTATGGGGAACATCTTCTCTGAGACACTTGGTGTCCTCAAACAGATGAGCCACAGCCCATGGTGATGTCATCGATCACAAACGTGTTCGGCAGCTGGAGAAGACTGATGCTCAGCAGGCTCCCATGTTTATATTAGTGTTGGATCAGTTAGGTGTGTGTGTGTGTGTAGAGCTACAGAAGTCTGCAGCTCATCTTAACACATTCTTTCAAATGCTCTCGAACATCTGTGGCTTCCACTGTCTTATATGGAAACCTGCTTTAAATCTGAATTCTAGCACATTTTTCAGGGATTTACTTGGACAGAAACGTTTTACCCATCTGTCCCGAGCATCGTTCCACTCCTGTCAGATTTACATCAACTCGACTAAAGCACATTTCTGATTGGCTGAATAGAAAACACAGAGGATGATGTTAAACCAACAGTGTGATTAGAACAAAGCTAAAATCATGTCGTACAAGAAACACACACACACACACACACACACACACACACACACACACACACACACACACACACACACACACACACACACACACACGTCAGATGTTTTTATTCACTGCAGTTATAACGACTCGGTCCGTGGCTAAGAATGTAAAATCTATTGTCTGCATACATTTATGAACATTTTGGGATAAGAGTTTATATTTTAAAGAGAAACAACTTTTTACTTACTTTTAAAAATGATCAGTCACTGAGTCGTTCATGCAGGCTGAACATGAAAATAGTCTCCTGCACCAATCTCCTCCTCTAATAGAAAATCAGCGGTGAAACTCTAGGGTTAGAAAATCCTGACAGATCTACGTCACACTGTCACTTATCATTCATGGACTCACCCATCTTAGCTCACTGTAGAGAAAGCTGTTAGTTGGTTCAGCACCCAGGAAACGGATCATCTCGGCTAGTAGAAGCTAACTGTTAGCATTAGCAACTCTACAACCAAGCAGAGCTCCTTCAGGCTTTTGGTATTTGTGGAGATAAAACATCAACGTTGCAGAGCAAATGGAGTCAGTGGTAGAGTCACGTTGCTGTTATCCAATCAGAGGAGAGATGCCCAAATATCGGGAAATAAGACTCCAGATCTTGTCGTCTGTAGCTACTTTCTCCTCCCGCTGACTTCGGCCCAGTCCCAACTCTCGCACTGCGCTCTACGGTCCTCTGTGAGGTGCACTTGGAGGAAGTGCGCAGTAAGGCTTTGAGTGTGTAGTATACACGTGTTTACATACCTGCCGAATTGGGACGGGGAGATGCTGGTCGTTGGTTTTTTAAAGTAAATTTACATTAAATGCTACTTTGTCTAAAACATTCAGAACATTAATTAATCATCCTACAATGAACTGCTTTAATTTGAAAATCTGTCCTTTTAGAACTACAAAGGCACTTGAACCTTTTCTCCTGCAGCAGTGGATTGTGGGTAATACACATCGCCCAAGTCCACATCAGTGCAGACTTGGGCGATGTGTGGATCAAGGGCGCAAAAGGTGTGTGATCAACTTCTGCACTTGAGAATCGGGACACCTTGTGCACTCGCACCCCTGAGCGGGATCATGCAGGGCGCGAGTGTGGAAGTGCGAATTTTGGGATTGGGCCTTCTACGCCTTCAAACGGGCGCACTGGTGTATCGTTTTCCCCAGAGAACGACTTGCAAGACATTCGTTCCTACTAGAGACCACTGCTAATTTATTAAAATATGAGTGAACTTGACTTTTCAGACTGAAAAAACCATTTCTTTGGCTTCGCTTTGTTCAATTGGAACCATTTCTTCAAACTGAGGTTGTTCAAAGAGCCACCTAACACAGCTAAGAAGGAAAACCCACTTTAAAAGATCTGAAATCAATTTTAATGTCCTCATTAAGAAAAGGCAACAATTATATTTCTGACTTTTGATTCAGTCATCTGTGTGTTTTCAGGTTTCTTTTAGTATATTTCAATAACATAAAGGGACAATAATGGCAGACGTGGCCCAGAAAGGGTTAAATAATCCATTCTGAGCAACTCATGAACTAATATGAGCTTAATGACTTAATAATGCCACAAAAATGGAATTAAACAGAATTTCCTTCTAAGTTCTGTCAACATCACAGCAACATTTTGCTCCTTGTTCCCAAATCAATAATTTTGGCCTGTTGGTGTTTTATGGAGGTGTGACCAGAGTGATAAACTAGAAGTCTTCACCTCATGTCTCATTGGCTTCATTTAACTGGCTGCAACAATTGTTCTGATTGTGTTTGTGAAAAGCACCAAACCAGCGGTCTCGCACTGCAGATTTCTACATAATTCAGTTTGTTTTCAGCCAAATAAACGAGGAGCCTGTTGTTGGCCCTAGTGCAGCTGAGCACGCGGAGTGAGAAAGTGGAAGTTATTGTCAAGTGTTGCATTAAATAAAAAAAACTAAATGTGCATACCTTGGAATAAAGCAGACACCGGAAGGAGGTGATGGGTGCTGGCGGCAGATTAGAGGAAGTGGGAGAAAAAACCGTGGAGCTTGGATGTTAAGATCTGACTCAGAATCAGTACTTTGATGTGGGAGATTCTGTGTTGGTCCTTTAGTCAAAAGTACAGATTTATTAATAGATAGAAACAGTTTAGATATGAATAAACGTTCATAAGTGAGAGCTCAAATGTATAAAGAACTTGAACTGGGACTGTCACTAAACCAGTATCAGCGGTTAATTGAGAAAGTATATTTCTGTAACCACAAGGGCAATTAGATGACTTTTGGTTTCATTATTTATGGAACTCTTGTGGGACTTGTTGATGTGTAAATATTAGTATACGTGTCACTGATGACATGGAACATTGTAAAAAAGCCAAATATATTAGATTCCATACATATTAGGCTTGGCGTAGTTTAGCATCGGATGCTTTTCTCAGCTGCCCTTCTTGCCTTCTCAGTGGCCTAGTGGTAGAGCGTCCGCCCTGGACACGCTAGCATCGGCTCCACACCGCCCGGATAGCCCCAGTCAGCCCCAGTTGATTCCACACATCCTTGCTTAGGAATGCGGTCAGAAGTTCTCAGCTCCCAGGTAATCAGCCCAGGTGGGCTGATTCTACCCACCAATCGGAGGCTTCCCTAGTGGAAGGTGTGAATTTGAGCCGGCTTATCAGTCAGCAGTGGGTGTGCTGGCCCTGGTCAGTCTGAAGCAGACCACCTGAGGAAGAGGGCTGGAAAACGGCCCGGTTACCCAGAAAGAGGCAGGCTATGGTACTGTAGACACTAGGGATGAGCGAGTGCACCACCATCTGTATCTGTACTCGGAATGGGCGTGGCATGACCCGGAAGTGGGCGTGGTTTAACCAGAAGTGGGTGTGGTTTACATCAATATATTTTACGTCTGAAATTGATATGGGTTGATCAGAAGTTGCTATGTGTATTGTTTATTTGAAAACTATTTACAGAGCAGCCTCAGAATTGAGATTAAATATTTTTGATCACAATAGTACAGAAACTATTACAGAACAAGTGTTTCAATAAAATCAGAACATTAATAATTAAGTGCATGGATTAATACATCTGAACTAGTGCAGTAGGAACTAGGACATGTGAAATACTAGAACCAGACACAACTTTATACATATTTTTTAACTTTAATTTGATTAAACTGATTTTTTTCTAAATGTGGCAAGGTGGATAAACTAGGGCCTGGGTGGGATTCGATCCCCAGACTCCCGGGTGAGAGTCATACGCTCTAACCAGTCAGCCAAAGGGACATCCCACTGGCCAAGTAGCCAGGGCGCATGATCAATCGGGACATTGTGACAGGACGCTCACACTGTCAAATAAACATTCTTGGCATTTTCCCACACAAAGTTAAACAAAACAATGTTGATTAAGGTGTGTGTGTGTGTGAGAGGGGGAGAGAGATGGAGTTAAACAAATAAAGAACCCCAAGCGGAGGTAGAGACACAGCACGTCAGCTCTGTCTTGCCAAATGCACCATGTAAGTTAAGAAAAAAGTAACTTTAAATATTCAACCTAAAAAGAGACGAGCTGAAGAAAACCGAAGAAACGTGAGCAACAGTGAAGCAGTCACAGCGAGATCCGTACTGTCTGTGTGGATGAGACGGACGGACTGCGCTCCCGGCCAGCTGCAGTTTGTGTGTAGGGAGGGGCGGGCGCTCTATGTGACTGGCCAATCACAGAGCGTGAAGACAGTCAGTTACCCAATGAGGATTTTCCTTCAGCACGATTACAGATATTTACGAGGTTTACTCGTATCATGCTCATATTCGTCAAAAATGCTTTATCCGTACCGGATACACATCCCTAGTAGACACTCTATGCTATCCAGACCATGCAGAGCCGATGCTAGCGTGAAAGGGGCTGCGGTTCAAATTCCTGTCAGATCATACCAAAGACCTTAATAAATGGGACCCAATGTCTCCCTGCTTGACACTCGGCTTTAAGGGGTTGGATTGGGGGGTTAGGCCACCAAATAGTTCCCAAGCGCAACCTCCGCTGCAGCACAACACTCCCCACAGGGATGGGTCAAACGCAGAGATGTTATTTCACTGTTTTTCTTTGGTATGACTCAACCAGTGCTTGAACCCCGATCTCCCAGTCCCAGGACGGACGCTCTACCACTAGGCCACTGAGAAGGTAAACGGACTTGAAACACCTTTTTATCACGGCCTTTGAAATGTTTGTTTCAGGAGTACCTGAGCCTGTACCCTCTGGATAAAATAATTCTGGCCCCTGATCCAGATGTTCCTAAGCTCCTCCCCCCTGTGGCCTACAACCCCTGGACTGATGTGAGAAAAAGAGATGACGTACAAAAACTCAACGTCAGCTTTCCCTATGGACGAATTCCTGACGACTTCCAGGTGTGACCCAGCTGCAGTTCTGATGACATCCCCTTCTTCAGATGAAAAGCCTAACCATGACGCTGTGTGTCTTCCAGCTCCGTATTCGTCAGCACTATTACGCTGCTGTGTCTTACATGGATGCTCAGGTTGGGAGACTCCTCAGCACACTCGATGATCTCAGCCTGACAGACAGCACGATGGTGGTGTTTACCTCTGATCACGGTTGGTAGACGTCTGACTCGCTAAACTCCAGAGCTTAAGCAGGATGTCCGGTTTAGAAAACAACTCGGATATTAACTGTCTCAAAGTTTGCTGTCTCAGTGTTTATGATAGTTTGCATAAACTCTGGATTATCAAGAGAACACACAGCTAATTAAATAAATAATTTGTCGGCCGTGCTGAAGAGAAAAGTACAGAACCAAAGGTTTATGATGGGTCAGTCCTCCTGCATGCTCGGATCATTCCCTTCCCTTGCTTGAAAAATTGTTCCAAAATGAAAGTTGAACCCACATCTTTTTTATCTGTGTATTCAGTGCCGTTCGGAGAGTCTCGAAATAAAAATGTGGGCATCTTACTGTAAAAAAATATACCATTAATGTAAAAAAGAAACTCCAAATAACAAGCTATGTTCACACTCTGAATCGAACCCAGGTTTTCTGCATGAGAGTCAGACATCTTACCAGGTGAGCTAAAGCACCAGTGACATTCATTGTATCTGTAACGTTTATATCCTTGATGACAGCTGAAATGACGTCAATGCAAAGAACGGTTCGGAGTGAAAATGGCTATTTTGTTGCTAATTAGCAGGAAATATCTAGAAGAAAGTTCTACAGAAAGTAGCTAAGGGTCCTCAGAAATGTAGCTAGCTTTGTCACTAGGCGTTAGGAACAGCGACAAAGTGGCACTACCTCACTCTGCTGCTAAAGCTACGGATAGCAAATGCTACGGGCGATGCCTGAGCGTGAACGCGCATGAAGCAGCCTGCTCGACCCGAGCAGCTCTCGTGATTTTACAGAAAAACAAGCAATCACCGTAAAAATGCCAGGGCTCATTCTACAGGACCAGGGCATTGCAGGAGAATGTATGAAGAAGACATTTATTATTTCTATACATGTTTTGGCCGTCACACTTCCTTATAGTCCCTTTAAAATGGATTATAATTTATTCCAAGTCTCTTGTTGCCATGAAAACTAATTTAATTCCCAAACCCCATTTTTCCAACATATCATTTGGGAAGAAAAGGCTTCTGGGCCAAGAAAGTCGAGCTTCTCAGTCAAGGAAGTTGACTCACTCACAGTTTAGCCTAAAAAAAACCACCTATAAAAAATGGGACCTAAACTATGGCGCGGTATGGGGGCCAAATTTAAGACTACTGTCCAGCAGCAGGAGGCTATATAAATTCTGAAGCAAACTACTGATCTGATTAATGATAAGCTGGCGCTGCTTACTGAGAAATAGCACCTTTACCGGCGTTACTACTAGACATGCTAGGGACTAGCAACCCTCAGCTGGTCATTGACTGGTTCTCACACTCCCTCTGCTGTCTATTAGCATGGATAGGCTAGCGTTAGCCTGGACGGGCTGGTGTTAGCATTGGAGAGGCTAGCCTTAGCGTGCCTAGGCTGGCCACTAGCTGGATTTCCTTCCCCCTCGATGGACCATTAGCATGGATAGGCTGGTGTTAGCTTTGGAGAGGCTAGCCATTAGCATGTCTCGGAGAGTCACTTACTCTATAAGATGTGTGGGTTTTTTTGTACATATTATATAGTTTTAATAAAGATAACATGACAATTTAAATAATTATTAACCTGTAATTCAATACAAAGGATTTAAAATCCAAAGATGAAAAGTACAAACTAGTTGGCTCTGGCTTTTTCTCTGATATGTGCAAGAAAACCAAACTCTATTAAAATAAAACACCATCAACCTGTAATTAAGAGCAGAATGGAGTTAACGCAGCACCTAATCAATGCCAACAGGCTGTCGGCTTTACAATATGCTTAAAGTTAATGTGTATAATGGGCTCGACACACGGGAGGCGACATCGCCTCTCCTCCATTCATTTTCAATGAGACATGCGCAACAAAGCGATAAACGCGGGTCTCCCTCCTACCAAGCGAAACGCGAAAAACGTGCGTGTGAAAGTTTGCACTCGTGCACGTGTCGTGCACGTACGACCCAGCGACGCGATCCCAGAAAGTTGAAACATTTTCAACTTTTCATCGCTGTCGCTCAGACGAGGACCAATCAACGGAGGTTTCATTCACTGACCAATGAGCGGACAGGATGCTCCGCACATCTCCGAGCAAACATGGAGGAGAAGTTGATTATTATTATGTTTTATAGTAAAATCAGAAGTAAGATTACACATAACTCTAGCAGCACCTTGTGAAACATCATATCTACCGCTTTATTAACTCTGAACCACTTAAATAACCTTAATTCCCTCCAACCTGACACAGCCAATCAAAACAACGGAAGTTTCGATTTCGCCATGGAACAGAACGCGTAGACGGCTTTGCCGCTGGCCGCTACGCAGATCGCCTCCCGTGTGTCGAGCCCATAACAACGCGTTTTGTCAAGGGAACAACTGTGATCGGTCTCATAGTATGTCATCCGTTTAATAAAAGTAAAAAAAAAAAGTATCTAGCAGGGGTTGTATGAACTAGTCGACTAGTCGACTTCACCGCTCTGTAGTGACTTTTTATCATCGACTAGTCGCTGTCACGTGATAATGACCGGCAAGATGCAGTCCACAGAAAAGACAGCAAGTGACAAGCTCCTGCGTGTCGGGAGGCGGAGGCAACGCGCTCTGCCAGAGCTTCTGTACTGACACCCGCCATAAAATGGACATTTAACCAAATTGGGACCTTTTCCCTCTTGCAATTTAACCTTCCCCTCACCCCCATCCTAACCTTAACCAGCTTGCGCATGCAAAGCTGTGATCGTTGACACGCTCCAGACATCTGCATCCTGAGCACGGCCACAGTAACATTATCAAATCAGGTGTCACCACCTCAAAAACAAATTTAACACGCGATCGTTCATGTCGGCTCATTTCCTTTTATGTTTTCTGTCTTTTATTTGTGCCTGATGCGTTTCGCTGCTGTGGAGCGGGGCGCATCACCTGTTTTGTCCTCCGGTGACGCACCTCACTAACACGGTCGGCGAGCAGCGCGCACTGCCGTTTTTGCGGTCGGTAGATTTTTTTAGAACTGCATAACTCATGAGGTGAATATATATGAACCCAGGTAGCAGTTTCTCTTTAGGACTGAGAGGAGATGCAGGAAGATAATAAACAGGCAGGACAGAAAAATAGTCAAATAAAAACAAGTTAGTTTTTGTACCTGCTGGTTGCAACAAACAGACACCATTGAAGGTAATCAGAAGTGAGGAACAGAAAATGAAATAATTATTTTAATGTTTAGAGCAGCAGGAACTCTGAGAGGCTGCAGGCGCATCAGTGAGTTTGCGGCCGCTGCGCAGGGGGAGGGGGGAGAGGGCTGAAGCAGGGGGAGGGGGGAGAGGGCTGAAGCAGGGGGAGGGGGGAGAGGGCTGAAGCAGGGGGAGGGGGGAGAGGGCTGAAGCAGGGGGAGGGGGGAGAGGGCTGAAGCAGGGGGAGGGGGGAGAGGGCTGAAGCAGGCGGAGGGGGGAGAGGGCTGAAGCAGGGGGAGGGGGGAGAGGGCTGAAGCAGGGGGAGGGGGGAGAGGGCTGAAGCAGGAACTACCGTTGTTAAAAGAAATGTGTTTAACTTTGAAAATGTGGGCGCAATTTTAATTGTCAAAAACTCCAGCGAACCAATCAACACCCCCCCCCCCCTCCTCGTGCCGCTTCAGGTGTATGACGTCATCAACGACTAGTCAAAGTCGAATAGATTTTCATTACTTGACTGTCGACTTAAAAAACAATTAAGCCATGCAGCCCCTAGTATCTAGAAGAGTAAGTGACTCTACGAGACATGCTAATGGCTAGCCTCTACAATGCTAACTCCAGCCTATCCATGCTAATGGTCCATCGAGGAAGTAGGAAATCCAGCTAGTGGCCAGCCTGGGAATGCTAATGGCTAGCCTCTCCAATGCTAACACCAGCCCGTCCATGCTAACTCTAGCCTATCCATGCTAATAGAAAGCAGAGGGAGTGTGTGAACCAGTCAATGACCAGCCGAGGGCTGCTAGTCCCTAGCGTATAATGACGTGTAATGACACCGGTAAAGGTGCTATTTCTCAGTAAGCAGCGCCAGCTTATCATTAATCAGATCAGTAGTTTGCTTCAGAATTTATATAGCCTCCTGCTGCTGGGCAGTAGTCTTAAATTTGGCCCCCATAGAGCTCCGGACCCCACGTGACTCTCAGTTAGTGGACGCCATTTTGGCATGCAAAAAAGGTAAACAAACACTGATGTAACCATGAACATGAACGGGATCCGCTTGGATTTTACTTCGTCGGAGTTTACTTCACACTTTAAAACAGAATAAATCGTTTTATATAGTCAGAAATTAAATAGACTAAACATCTCCGACCCTTACCGTGCCCCTGGGATACTTTTTAAAAACGCCAGAAGCTGTCGGAGCGGACTTCTTACCGGCACAACACCGGACCTGACCGGGGAACCCCTTGGGATTTACCCGGAGGAGCTGGCTCCGGCGGCTGGGGAGAGGGAAGTCACGCTGCTGCCCCCGCAACCCGACTCCGGATACGCGGATGAAAATGGATGGATGGACGGACAAATAACAGATTTACACGTAAGTAGTCTCGGTGAGACAGATAAAAGCAATCCAAAGTGCTTTTTGTGTGTGATCTGACAACTGATCAACCATCGCTTAAAAATCAAATACAGCTTAGCCGGTTAATTGCTGTGATCATAAAACACGTAAACGGCAGCACGCAGAACTCACGAGGCAACGTTTTACGTGATGTTTACTTGTTGCTATGAGTAATAAGACAGAAAAAGCCCCGCCAAAATAAGTTTAGGAAGCCCACTAAGAATCGTAACAAAAGCATTTAAAATAAATACCATACACAGTTGAGGAAACGTTGGTTTAAGTACCTGATATGAAGCGGTCGCTGCATAAGCGAAAACCTTTACTCTCGGGATCCCACAGCTTCATTTTCACCCGGTCACTAGCGCGTTTTATTACAATGATCCAACGTTTGCGGCGCTCCGGATCTTGGGGAATCCTGTAGATGGCTCATTCCTTATGTCGTCCGTGTCTGTTCTGCATCCTGGGGCACAACAGGAATCTACCATATTTCCTGTTTGATTGAGTTTTCCAGCTGCTGGCTTCTGCCTGCCAATATGGTGCCGTTTCGATTTGAACTGTTGCATGCCGGGAGAAGTGACGTCAACTCCCGGAGCTCTATACCGCGCCATGCTAAACATCCTCCATGAGGAACTCCTCCAACCATCCAACAACAGTTTAGTGATGAACGTCTTCTCAAGCATGGTGGAGCACCAGGCCAGAAAAATAAAGTACATCCATATGTTAGGTTCAGGTCCAGGAAACTCCTCAGACCTTAATTCAATTCAATTCAAGTTTATTTATAAAGCGCCAAATCACGACAAGAGTCGTCTCGAGGCACTTCACATAATAAACATTCCACTACAGGTCAGTTCATTAAGCCAATCAGAAATAATGTTTCCTATATAAGGAATCCAGCAAATTGCATCAAGTCACTGACTAGTGTCAGTGACTATACAGCAATCCTCATACTAAGCAAGCATAAAGCGACAGTGGAGAGGAAAACTCTTTTAACTTTTAACAGGAAGAAACCTCCAGAAGATCCTGGCTCAGTATAAGCAGCCATCCTACACGACTCACTGGGGATCGAGAAGATGGAACACACACACACACACACACACACACACACACGAACGCACGCACGCACGCACGCGCACACACACACACACACACACGACAAAGTAATGTGTCTATAGTTATATTGTGATGTCTTAGTAAATATTCTGTTTGGTGAGAGATAAACTTTATAGTATTTATCCTAGTGGATCTATAATTAAACGGGTAAACTAGTAGTAGCACATCCAACGTCAAGGAAAGCAAAAAGTTATTATCAGGAGAGGGAGAATGTTTAAGTGGTTAGCAGCAGTGTGCTAGTCGATGGCCCCCTCCATGAGGCCACCACAGCTCAGCAGAACATCATTGTAGCTTCTTCTGGGGAGAAAAACACTTAGAGAGAAAATAAAGTTAACAGCTGAAATAGCAGGAAATAGTACGGTTAAAGAGCAGATTGTAGAAGAAAGTAGTAGAGTGTGGAAAGTGGTCAGTGTGTCCTCCAGCAGTCTAAGCCTATAGCAGCATAACTACAGAGTTAATTCTGGATAATCTATCCTATTTAGATGGAGGCATGTTGGAGTCAGGGCAAGGGAGAGTCGTCTTTACCGACTGTACACTCCACCTCCCTCTACTCCCCCACTTGTCCAGATCTAGGCTAACATCAGATTTTAACCGTAGGCCCTATCAAATAAAAATGTTTTAAGCCTAGTCTTAAAAGTAGACAAGGTGTCTCCCTCACGGACTAAAGCTGGGAGCTGGTTCCACAGGAGAGGAGCCTGATAACTAAAAGATCTGCCTCCCATCCCATCCGTTTAGATATTCTGGGAACCACCAGTAGACCTGCAGTCTGAGAGCGAAGTGCTCGGTTAGGAACGTATGGAACAATCAGATCACTGATGTATGATGGAGCTTGATTATTAAGAGCTTTGTATGTGAGAAGAAGGATCTTAAAATCTATTCTGAATTTAACAGGTAGCCAATGTAGGGAAGCTAAGACAGGAGAGATCCTGTCCCACTGAGATTAATCCCACTGAGCACTTGGGGTGAGTCCTCCAGAGGCAGGAGGACAAATAAAAAACCCAAATATCTGGCAAACTCCAGACACTGATGATGTGGAATGAGCTCCATCAGTCAGGATGTGGAGCAGAAGCTGAGCGATGACCAGTCAGGGTGAACTACGGAGGTCTAATAGGACCAACAGCTTCTAATTTTACTTCAGTTACCATCGAAACATCTGAAAAATGGTCTGAAGATGGTGAAGCAGCAAACTTGATGAAAACCAAGCCCTGAAACAACCTGCTGTCTTGCTTCTGACCACCAGATGGCAGTGTTGTAACAGCAAGCTTATCCCATCCTCTGAGTTTAGTGATGGAAAACTGAAGCGCTTTGTTTCCTTTATCAACGCTTGCTTTGACTCCACCCTGCTGTGATCAGGATTATGTGTGAAGTGAAATGGACCGACTGCATATAAATCCCAGGATGTTCAGGTTTTTCTTTGTTAATTCTGTGTTTCCTGTCCGTATGCAGGTTGGTCGTTAGGCGAGCACGGGGAATGGGCTAAATACTCCAACTTTGACGTGGCGACACGTGTTCCTCTCATCATGTTTGTTCCTGGTGTCACCACCTACCATAACTGGCTGTGGGAGTCGACCTTCCCCTTTATTGATGTTTTCAGCCAATCAGAGCAGAGCTTTGACTGTAAGATGGCTAATAAACACAGATTTGTGGTAATTTACATGTGAGGTTGTACAAGGGTGAGCCATTTTTGGGGAGGGCCGTAAGAACCCTGTTAAAACCTTTAATAATGAGGTCATTTAACTTTAATGCAGTGATGTGTAAGGAGAGCTTGAAAGAAGAGTATTTAAATGGAGATGCACTTTGATATTTAGCCTCAGGATAGTTTTTACTTCAACAGAAAGTGGTGCAATAGTGATGAAATTTAAGTACAATTTCTGAAACGCCTTACCTAAAAGGATCAGATCAAAGTTCCTGACTGTATAAAACCCTTGGTGCCCTCAGATAACAGAGTTGTACGGAACATGGTGGAGCTGGTGGACGTCTTCCCGACCGTCTCCTACATGTCTGGCCTCGGAGCACCTGAATACTGTCCTGATGTTTCCCTCCAGGTATCGGCAGATGGGATTCGATGCGACTGTCCCACATTAAGAGGGTTTCAGCAGCTTTCTTTTCTTTAGAGCTGAGCGGTTCAGCTAGACAGCTTTAGATGCTGCTTCATGGATGTTGCTCTCCTTGGCTGACCTGCAGAGGAGAGACGGAGGCTTTAACTGTTGGATAGATTACTGTCAAATTACTTATTATGAATTTGCTTTGTCAAACAGTAATTGTAGCAATATCAGCTGAATTCTCCTGTCAAAACACACTTTACATGATTAGATTTGGTCCATTTTTATCAGCAGCAGCTGAACTTTCACCAGAAAAATAACATGCTAAATGTAAAATGATTGACACGTACCGTAATTTCCGGACTATAGAGCGCACCTCAATATAAGCCGCACCAACCAAAAAAAGGTTTTCTACACACACACACACACACACACGCCGCACTCATACACAAGCTGCGGTGCAGCAGCCACGTGCAGGTCTCTGGCGCACAGCCCATGTACGGCCATAACATCAGATAACTGGACAGAGAGACGCTACACGGAGGTTTTTCGTTGTTTTAATTCAACAAAACGAATTTTAAATACGGGTTAGCGCTGATAGCATTCATATTTCTGGATGGCTATAAAATAAAAACAACTGACACGTTATTACCGGTAATCTGCATGTTTAGAAGAAAAGAACAGCGCTGACGCAGCATGAATAAGCCCTGGATGATCAGAAATAAAAACTGCACACAAAACATGCCTGGTTAGTAAATAAAACACACTTGCCTACCAGAAGAAGTCCTTCGCTCTCATCTTCCTCCTGCGCTCTAAAGCCATTAAAGTCCTCTTCTTCAGTGTCGGAGTTGACCAGCCTCAGAAGAGCTTCGTCACATACCTTTTCTGTGGCGATGTCAGTGTCGCTGTCCGTGTTGCTGTCATCATCCCCGGGTGAAGCTGGCTTGAATGAGTTCTTCCCGCTGCCGTCTCCAGCGCCGAACCGTGGATTCATTCATGCCAAGCTTACGTGCGGCAGCACTGTTTCCCTCCTTTACTGCCAGATCGATGGCCTTCAACCTAAATGTGGCATCATATGAACTCATACGTGTAGTTACCATGATGAGGGGGTATGGATTTGAAAAAAAAAAACATCGTGCCAGCTGCTTGCATGTGCTAAATTAAAATGAGCACTTTCTTCCATTTCCACTTTCGACTTCCACCTGTTTCACTTCCTGCTAAAGCGCCCCCTAGTGGCAGGTGAAGGAAGATCTTCAGTAAAGCCGCACCTCATTATAAGCCGCGTGGTTCAAGGCGTGAGAAAAAAGTAGTGGCTTATAGTCCAGAAAATACGGTATTCTAACTAGACAGAGGAACGCAATAACAGAAGTTATCCTAAGCGAAACCGTCCCTAGTGGTTGGTTCCAGTATTAATTTTAAGTCCAAGCTCCGACCTGTTCCTGACGCTCTGTAGTTTCTTTAGACCGATGCTCAAAGACCACAGATAACAAAACGGGTTTTGGAGCTTGGCTATTTACATCATGCATAATAAAGTGGATCCTAACATCTAGGTGTGTTGTATGTTTACACCACACACCCTGACACATTTTCGGCTGTAGTAGGAGCTAATGTGGACTCATGCCCTCACGGAGCTGCTTGTGCAGCTGCAGACTCTCATCTCTGGGGCTTATTTTAGTCACAGTGACTACTCAAGCAATATGGTGTATTCATATCGCTCTTAAAGTACAAACGTGACCCATCTGACTCTCTCCTGGTCTGTTTCCGTCGTCCAGGTGGAGCTGTGTACAGAAGGAGACAACCTGGCTCGCACCTTTCGGTACAAAGAAAGAGGAAAGAACCCAGAGCTTATAGCTTTCAGTCAGTACCCTCGCCCCGCTGATACCCCACAGGTAGGTTGAGGCGATTCAAGGTCCATGGTGAAGCCTAATCTTTCACTATCATGTCATTGACCTACCTGCTGTTTGATGATGGCAGTTAATGGAAAAATCTCTTTCTAAGCATTTGTTTCACTAACGGTAAGATCTCTGTTTATGATGGTTACGATGTCAGAGATGCAGTGATGGTTACAAAGCTCAAGTCAACCTCAAGTTTATTGGCTGGCTATAATAAACAATTTTATTTATTATTTTCATTCATGTCTATTTTAGACTTCAAATCTCAACTCCAATTTCAGATATTTAATGTAGCATTCCTAAAACCAAGATATTTTTGATTTACTCAACATTTTGCTAATCATAGGCCAGATATTTGGCTCAACAAAAAAGTACTTTTAAAAAAGGAGGCAGCATTTCTTCTTAGTCTATTTTCTCTTTAATTTCTGATCTGCTTTCAGGAGAAAGAGCTAGCAGAATTGAAGCTAAGGCAGGGAATACACTTGCTTTTTAACCTCGTGTTGACACAGGCGGTATCTTTGTTCACACACTTACGGCACTGCATGTAGTACTAGAGTGTTCCCCTAGGGGGCACCGTAGGGAACTCGGACCGGATAGAGTCCTGGGGCTTCAAACGTTCGTAGAACTATTCCTATATTCCTTCCTAAATCCAGATTCGTGGGATGTGCGGTGGCCTCTCGCAAGTTCCTCTGCAATCGTCTGATGATAAATCCCACCTGTGCGTACCTAGGCGCTCGTGTCCAATCACGATTGTTTACATGCAGAAGTGCCCTCAGTGAACCAGATTTGGTCACACCACATCCTCGGCTAATGTGGGGATTCCCTGGATATTTCCTGTGGGGAAAAAAAACTTTATTGACAGCGAGATCGAGGCACTGGCTGTCAAGTTCAAAGGAGCTAGACAAGTTGTAGAAGTTATGAATGCGGTCGGGACGGAGGAGAGGTCCCCGTCAGAGATAAAAAATAGAATGATTACTGGTGGAGGAACGGGTTGTCATTTCCATTTAAGGAGTCGTTCTGTTTGAAGTTAGTTTTATTTAGAAAACCTGTGTGCAGACTCTTCTGAGCTGTCATTCACTCTGGTTACCTTGGCAACGCGGCGTGTATGATCGGGGAGCAGAGGGGGTTCTGGGGGCGTTCTCATAGTTCTAAAATAGAAAGTGGACTGGAATCGGATTAGTGTGGTTTATCTGTCCCTCTGCGGTGGGTCCCAGATCACAGCATAGCTCCAGAAGGACCTCCTTTAGGAGTCGGATCAGAGCGCTCACAGAGCGTCCCCCCCAGAGTCTCTGCTAAATCCTCCCAATAACACAAGATCAGCCATGTTTGTCGGTCACAGGTGTCTTTTACAGGTTTTAGCGCCAATTATGTGACGCAGCTTTTTTTTCCAGCACAATAATTATGTACTGGGTAAAATAATTAGTGGGTGAGGATCATGTGTGGACGACTGAGACGTTCAGTGTTGCGTTTCCCCTGTTCTACCACCAGGTGCTGTTCGTACGCGTGGTCTGAGGTTTTCTTATGTTTAGGAACATTTTCACACCTAAGCACAAAATGAAGAATGCCACACAATGCGCATGTTAGTTCCTAAGCACAGACCTGTGCACAAGTACGGTTGACAAAGTTGAGCCGTGCGTTTGTGGATACAACCAAAACAAACATGGCGTCAATAGAAGAGATCGGGTTATGACCGCAGCAATATCGCAGATGGGACGAAAGACCGGTAAACCAGACAGTGTTACCAGTTTGGCTTGTTTCGTCAACTCCCCTACTGGTTTCTTGCATATTGCAGCTTTACGAATGCATCTAGTTTATTTTAGGACACGTACAGACGCAAATTACGCAAAACAGCTGTGATGAACACGTGAACGCGTGATTTAAACTATTTTCCAGCCTCGACACTCGCTCATTTCCTATCTGTCGTCACCTTTCATGTGTTTTTATTTGATTGCGCTCTGGAGAAATGACTGAAAATGGTCATTTTAATTTGTGTGAAATGTGTAACTGCCAGATACCTCCAGCCCACCTCTTCTCCTCAGCTCACTGTAACATGTCTCCTCCCCCTCTTTCTCACGCACAAGCAAGGTGATCTGTACCTGTCACAAGAGTAGTGCAAGGTGATATGTAAATTGAAGCAGGCACTGAAAAGTTTGGGGAAAATATGGATCTGTGTTGTTGGGAAAATCTGGTCCAACTGGACCGCACCCGTTGGAGACACGCCGAGGAGTGCTGTTGGAAGAGCGGCAATAGAGATGTGTAGTCCTGTTAGGGTTTCAGGTCTCACTTCCACATGCTTCCAGCTGTGTGACGCAGGGATCGCTGGAACAAATATCTCCATAATCTCATTCTAGCAACTCCAAGATATAAAAAGAAATAATTAAAATTTATCAAAAATTAGCTGTTTAAACTTTGTCATTTAATGTATCCCATCATGCTGCATAGCTCTACTGATCATGCCTGTGCTTCTAGTCTATGTGCCGTGAAATAGGCCTGTTTTAACTGAAATTACAGTCCAGCTATTATATGATAAATTGGCTTGCCAAACTTCTCACGATCAGGACCTTTTCACAAAATGAGCATTTTTTCCTCAACATGTGTCTTAGGCTAGCATTATTAAGGCTAATTAAGTGTTTGTTTAGGTTTAGTTTAGTCATTCAAGGCTTTTAATTTGGTAGTTTCTCTAAATTTTGTCACTTTCCTCATGTTTTCTATTTTTTTTTTTTTGCCATGAAGGTAAAAAACGCCTCCGTTTAAATCCACATCACACATGTAGATTAGAACAGCTCAGTGCTCCAAAGGCGAGTCGGGATGGCTGCTCACACTGGTCCAGAATCCTCCGGAGGTTTTTCTCGTTAACGGGGAGTTTTCTTCTCCACTGTCGCTACATGCTTGCTTAGAATGGGGATTGCTGTAAAGTCTCTGACACAAGTCAGTGACTCGATTCATTCTGCTGGGTTTCGTTGCATAGGAAACTTCAAATTGGCATAAGGAGGGTGCACTGTTAAACGGGTCCAGTTGGATTGTTAGTGAAGTGTCTTCACACGATGCTTGTTGCTATATAAACAAACTGACTTGCATTTAAATGGAAGCATCAAACCCAACCTTGGAGTTTGTCGGACTTCTTCTAAGGACTTCAGTGTCTGGAGGCAATGTCCTGTTACCGCCCGAGTTCATCGCTGCCTAAAGGTACAACGTCTGTAGTTGTGTGTTTCAGGACTCGAGGCAAATCTTTCACTGACCTGATTAACTTTCACTAAAATGTGAAAATCAGTAAAGGTCATCTTTTGGCACGCCCGTCTGTACCTGCCACTCTTTGACCTGCTCCCGTCTGCTCGCACTCGAGCTGCCACCTTCAAGCAGGCCGGCTTCAAATGAAAATATTCATGAGTGCTCCATCTGCTGTGGGTTAATGTGTGGATGCAACAGCCTGACATTAACTCGTCAGCTCTGCTGAGACGTTCTCTGTTCTGGTTTCAGGAGAACTCCGACCTCCCCGATCTCAAAGACATAAAGGTGATGGGCTACTCTCTACGCAGCTGGGATTACAGATACACGCTGTGGCTGGGCTTCAACCCTAGAGACTTCCAGGTGACACACACGCGCACACACACACACACACACACACACACACACACACACCTTCCCCCTGCGTGTGTTACACTCCTCCGTGTGGATGCACTAAGTTCTGGCTGACCAGTGGAGCGTGATGGACCCATCCATCTTACGGAGACATTTTCCACGACAGAAACCGATATCAGCCCGCTCCGCTCATGCGTCTCTCCAACCAGGTGAACACATCCGACGTGCACGGCGGAGAGCTGTACATGATGGAGGACGATCCCGGCCAGGACACCAACATCTACAGCGATGCCCTCCACAGAATGGTCATGGGGAAGATGGAGAGTCTTCCTCAGGTGGGTTTCAGTCTATTTTAGCGTTCTAATGGACTCTGTTGTTTACCTGCTTGTTTACTCGTCTTCTAGAATGTGAGTCTGCAGATGAGGCTGAAGCGGCAGCTCCTCTACCTCACAGCGGGGAGGAAGATGAGTAGATGGACCAACCGGGACAAGGGCAAAGGGAATGAGGTTGAAAAGGAAATGAAGAACTAAATGCTGTTAAAGCAATGTGATGCATTATGGGATGTCCACATTATCTGGGCCTGGATCCTCAGGCTAATGTTGGCTGTTTAGTGTTGAGTAAAAAAAAAGACTTATTTTCTTACTGAAATATTTCACTGAGTCGAATGAATTCCTTAGAAAACTTCCTTCTCTGACCTTCACCAGCTGGAAGAGACTGAGATCTTCCAAAAGCTTCGTTCACACAAAATCAATGCGACTACCACTGAAAACGTGTATTTCCTTCCACTCTGATGTCCCCGACAGTCTCAATGAGAGTCTCTGGGCTGCGTGGTTGGGTCTCCGTGGACCACAGTGGGTTGTCCAGGAAGCGGAGAGAGGATCCTGGATCATTCCTCATTCCTTCAGACATAATTGTTGTTCCGGGTCAGAGATGGGATGGGTGGTCGGGTTCCTGTTTAATCACAACCACTGCCATCAGGATAATCCCACCAGCTGCCCTCCCTAAGTGCAGCCTTCTTCCATGGATGAGCGTCAAACACAAACCCAACCATGAACACCATCTGAAGCAAAATAAAAATGATCACATCAGGCTGCAGCTGGTGCTTTATTCTGTTAGCGGAGACTGCACCGCCTGGTTTCTGGTTGACTGCTTATTCCAGTTTAAATATTGCTGACTGTGTCTGGAGGTTTGTTTTGGGTCCTTTGGTATCTGCTGTCCACAGGGTTTGACAGTTTCTCACATTAAATAACAAAAACTTCCATGTCTGTAAATGAATTTTTTGATGTTCCAGACACTAAACTCTAGGAGGAAGAAGGATCATTCAGAATTCTGACTAACAGCAGCCAGATGCTCCAGGAAGCACGGACTGGAGGAAAAAAAAACTTCAATCATTTCCATTAAAGTCCTAATTTAACAGGACAGGCTGTTATTTTGCTAATTCCATGTCCGTTTCCATGGAAAAAATATATATGGGGAAAATCGATTCCAACACACACACGCGCGCGCTCACAGCCGCAACAGGTACCACTTCCACTCAACCAGCCAACCCCCTACCTCCAAATTCACACCATTCAACAACCGCTTTGTTTTCTAGATTTCCTACTTTCTAACTAATCAGCCAAAGGGATCCACCGAACGCAAAAAAAAAAAAAAACTGCTTCATATGCGCTGCGCTCCAGCAGCAATGATCACCGGCGCACAGATTATGAACTCAGCTGACAAGTACATGAAGTACCAGAGAATATGGGCTGGTATCAACGATCACAAACGAATGACTTTGTTTTGGTGGAGCGATCTTGTGAATATAACAGCGGCCGCGCGCAGGACGCAGCTGGAGTATTTGAGCCGTTACCGCTGCGTCCTCTCTGCTTATAGAACGCCCGCAAAGCAGAGTCCATAAATGATGTAATACATGTAGATACTGGATCTCTTTTCAAGCTTCCCGCAATTTGAATTTTTAGGAAACTCACATCTTGAATCTGGGTTTAAAAATGCATTGTAATTACCGCGTTACTGACCATTATACCGAGTAAATATTACCATTTTCTTTCCCTGTAATGCCTTACACAGGGTTCTCACGCATCCTGGAAAACCTGGAAAATGATAGTCCAATTTTCCAGTCATGGAAAACACATGGAAAATGGGGGGAATTGCAAAATGTCCTGGAAATTTTTGAGTTGTCCTGGAAAATAATTTTCCCTCCTTGTGGATAAACAAACAGATTAAACATTTTGGGCAATATTGGGCTGTAGCGCTTCTCCTTTAATTTCTGCATCTAGCTGGCACAGCGCCCCACATGACGCTTCCAACCAATCAGATTGCATATTCCCCTTCAGATCCAGTTCCACTTCTGTTTTTCCAACTGTCTTTTTGGCTAGATTTACAGATTTTTCACCCCTAGATTTTTTTCTCTAAAGAAGGGCCAAAAGTAGCAACTCGGTTCACGAGTTTTGCTTTATCTCCGTTTATAGAGCGAGAGGTTTTTCTCCTCCTCTCTGTTGAGTGACAAAGGAGCAGCGGAGAGCTTTTGTTTTTTTCACTCATGCGATGAGACGAGCGAACATGAGGAGAGCTTCGGGATAGCAACGGATAGCAGGTAGTCTACCGGACCCGCGCTCCACTCAGTAATTCATACTAGTTCTACTGTCCGACAGCAGAAACAAAAATATGTGAATGAGAAAAATGTCATGAATTCTATTCTATCAAAATACTAAGTATGTGCTCAGGGGACAGAGCCTCAGCTGTTCATACTGTTTTTAGCTAGCTACACAGACCGCAGCCAGGAGGCAGTGAGAACTGAAGACTGGCATGGTCATTTGAACAAAGTTGTTAACGTAATTAAATTGAATTCAACACGGCTAAATTAATAACTAGAATTATTTTAAGTGGCAACTATATATTTATCATAGTAATGTTACGTACAGTCCAGACTAAAATGGTAGCGAACAACTACAAGTACTTATCTCTGAGGTAGAAAAAAAAATATTTTTCAGGTCCAATATGTGTGTGGTGTTAGCGGGAGATATTAGCCTAGTCATCTACCCTGAATCTTGTTTCTGGATGACTGGACTAACCTAAAATGACCAATACTGGAACGACAAAATGCAGTTTAACATCCAACTATGTGAAATAAGCAGTAAAGTGTAATGTGGTGTGTACAGTATAGGGTTGTCACGTTATGAAAATGTAACCTCACGGTTATTGTGACCAAAATTAACACGGTTTTCGGTATTATCACGGTATTTTTTAAACGGTGTTGCATATGTTCAGAAAGCATTGATAGTCCTGTTCTACACAAACTGAAATAGTTCTGAAAAGGTTTAACAGTGTTTATTAAACCTAAAATAACACAAAGCCTTGGCAAAAGTGCAACTTTTCACAAGTAAAGGAACAAATAGCTTCTTTTTCTGGAACATGTTACAGTAGTCAGTGCAGGTTTAAATTATACAAATCCAAACATTCGAAACATAAACAATATGTAAACAAATCAAAGAAACACCACTTGTTTTCTCATATACTTGTTTTCTTCATTATCAAAATGAAAATCTAACACTCCAGTCCACACTTGCCTTGAGCTCTGTACAAGTCAACCTTAAAAATATGTATTTAAAACAAACAGCCACTTTAAACAAATTACTAAAATAACTACTACACTATGTAATCAAATCCAAATGTTCAAGTATAAATGGCATTGAATAAGTAAACAAATCAATGACAAGGAACTAATTGTATATTTCTCTTCATCATCAACAAATAAGATGCTTCATCCAGCAACAGGGTGTCCGTGACACGGTTTAAATGCTGCCAGAGGACGCTGCGGCTGCAGCATATAGTGACTCGTTGCATTCTCCCTCAACCAAAAGTCCTCGCGTCATGCATTTAAGCTAAAATGCTAATGTTAACCTACCTTGCACTGGCTGTAGAGACGTGGGTGATGGTCACGCAGATGTGCCATTAGATTCGAAGTGTTGCTGCCTTTTGCAGACACTTGTTTCCTGCACGTTCTGCAAACGGGATAGCCGTCTTCTATTAACTGTCCCTCAGCATTTTTCAGAAATCCAAAATATGCCCATGCTTCCGATTTAGTCTTCTTTGAGGGCTGATGGATGTCCTGGGTGCTGCCGTCTCCTCCTTCGGCCATTATTTCAGCTTCAAAGTTTTGGTGCCGTTGCAAACTAAAAAGTGCGTGTGCGTGCCGCGGGAACTTCAGCTGAAGCGACGGTGGCTGGTAAGGGTCACCGCGCCGAAACCGCGGCCACGGTAAACCCACCGAGATAATTTAGTTTTTTAAAAACTGGACGGTTATTTTTATTGTCAACTTTTTTACCGGGGTTTACCGCTATACCGGTTACCGTGACAACCCTAGTACAGTAAGGATAATACATAGAATATGAAAGATATGAAAGAAGGTTTGAAAAGCAGGCCTAATTTATTGAATAAACAGTCAGTATAAATGGTAACAATCTTTCAAAATATGTCTTTGTGTGCTTAATAGGCAGGAGTGAGTGATGTCAGGAAGACGGTGAAAAATCAAAACTTCAAAACTGGCGTTTTGCTAGCCCCAAGAGACTCTGCCTGTGTGTTGGGGTTTACCCCGGTGGACGAGAGGGTAGCTTCCCTGTGCCTTCGGGTCGGGGAACGGGTCCTGACTGTAGTTTGTGCTTATGGGCTAAATATCAGTTCAGAGTACCCACGCTTTTTGGAGTCTCTGGGACGAGTGCTAGATAGTGCTCCATCAGGGGACTCCATTGTCCTGCACGGGGACTTCAATGCTCACCTGGGCAATGAGCATGACCTGGAGGGGTGTGATTGGGAGGAACGGCCCGCCTGATCTGAACTCGAGTGGTGTTTCATTATTGGACTTCTGTGCAAGCTGCAGTTTGGCCATAACAAACACCATGACCGAACATAAGGATGCCCATCGGTACACTTGGTGCCAGGGCAGCCTGGGTCGCAGGTCGATGATGGACTTTGTAGTCGTATCATCTGACCTGCGGCCGTATGTTTTGGACACCCGAGTGAAGAGAGGAGCGGAGCTGTCAACTGATCATCACCTGGTGGTGAGTTGGATCAGATGGCAGGGGAAGATGCTGCATAGACCTGGCAGACCCAAACACATAGTGAGGATCTGCTGGGAACACCTGGCAGAAGAACCTGCCAAGACGGTCTTCAACTCCCACCTCCGGCAGAGCTCTGACCGTGTCCCCCGTAACCCCGGTCCCGCCGGCCGTCCACAGCCCGGTCACCACGACCCCCCCGTCTAGGGTGGGGGTCGCTATATAGGTGCTGGGCAGCTTCGGACCGACGGGGCGCACAGGGTAGCGGGGGGCAGCGAGCAGTGGGGGACATTGACTCCGAGCAGGCCTTGTTCCACTCTGCGATTGTTGAGGCGGCTGTTGCTAGCTGTGGTCGCAAGGTGGCCGGTGCCAGTCGTGGTGGTAACCCCCGTACCCGCTGGTGGACACCAGAGGTTCGGGGAGCCGTCAGGCTGAAGGAGGCCTACAAGTTGTGGCTGGTCTGTGGGTCTCCGGAGGCAGCAGACAGGCACCAGATATCCAAGCGGGGTGCAGCAGTGGCAGTTGCCGAGGCAAAATCTCGGGCGTGGGAGGAGTTTGGTGAGGCCATGGGGAAAGACTATCGATCGGCTCCAAAGAGGTTCTGGCAAACTGTCCGGCGCCTCAGGAGAGGAAGGCAGCAACTCGCTCACACTGTTTACAGTGGGGATGGGGAGCTGCTGACGTCAACTGGGGCTATAGTCGGATGGTGGAAGGAATACTTTGAGGAGCTCCTCAATCCCACCTACGCGCATTCCGAGGAGGAACCAGAGCTGGGAGGCCTGGGGATGGACTGTCCAATCTCGGGGGCAGAAGTTGCTGAGGTAGTCAAACAACTACACAGCAGCAGAGCCCCAGGGGTGGATGAGATTCATCCTGGGTATCTCAAGGCTATGGATGTTGTAGGGCTGTCGTGGTTGACACGTCTCTACAACATTGCGTGGTCATCGGGGGCAGTTTCTGTGGAGTGGCAGACCGGGGTGGTGGTCCCCATCTTTTAGAAGGGTGACCAGATAGGGGGATCACACTCCTCAGCCTCCCTGGAAAAGTACTGGAGAGGAGGGTCCGATCGATAGTCGAATCTCAGATTGAGGAGGAGCAATGTGGTTTTCGTCCTGGCCGTGTGACTGTGGACCAGCTCTATACCCTTGCAAGGGTGATGGAGGGGGCATGGGAGTTTGCCCAACCAATCCACATGTGTTTTG